TTTTCTTGTGGTCTTTGATGATGGTTCCCTGTCGGTGCTGTGATTCGATTTTAAACACTTTTTGATGAAATTTTGCGGATATCCATTCTTTCTGAAGATGGTTAGTAGGTATTATTCTTCCATTCTTTTCAACTCTGGAGTGCTGCAATGTGTTTGAACTCTTTTAAACAATGTCTGCACACAGTTTCGTTTGTGATTAACTGGATTATTGCTAGTATAGTTGAGTATTTGATCTGTGTGCGTTGATTTTCCAAAGACTTGTGTTTCTAAATCTCCTGTGTTGGTTCTCCTGATTAAGACATCTAAAAATGGGATTTTGTAATCTAATTCTTCTTCTCTTGTGAATTTGATGTCTATATTCTAAATCATTTCTCTTAATTATTACAAATGTATCATCAACGTAACGTATCCAGATTTTCGGTTTAATTATAGGTAGAGCTATTAATTCTAATATTTGCATAACAGCTTCAGCTATTAATCCTCATATGGGCTATCCCATTGGTATTATGGGGTAACCTAGTTTACGTACCATATTATTCCATTAGCATTATTAGTTTTAGGCATTAAATAAAACCATTTAGACTCATCCAGTGACAGCTTCATATTGCGTACTAAATCTCCTGTGGATTCCTTAATCTTATTCATTATTGTATCTACAGGCTTCTTAATTTCTTCGTATGGACTCATTTTAGTGTGCTGAGTGACTTTCTTTATATAATCAGATTTGTCCAGAACTAATATGGAGTTCCCTTTATCTTCTTTTGTGATGACAATGTTTTTATTATTTTTAATATTAATTAGAGCCAGCTAGTCTTTACGATTTTGTTAAGTCTAACTGTTCCTTCTTTTAATTCAGTTTTAGATTTTTCTATCTACTGATTGGACCGAAGTGCTCAGTCTCAGGTTGATATGTCAGCTTCTTGTGAAGATGTTTCTACGATGTCTGGGCATGTAATTAGAAGTTAGTTGGTGGATGGTGACTAGCAGTAGAGTAATCCAGGATAACGCGCATTTCGTTCTATTCGGGACTCGTCACTGGATGCACCTGCATTCCACAGTGAGTGATAATGTTCCCACCGAGGCTCGAACCCAGTGTTCATAGTTTCAGGCGCCAAAGCGTTCTCCCCTAGACCCCTTGGGCCATGGGAGCCATCTCTTGGATTCCACTGCTAGTCACCATCCACCAATCAACTTATAATTATGTTATGATTGTTTGCATTTTTCTGTTGATACAAATGTCTACCAACGTGTGACCTTCAAAGGAACTGACTTCAATAGATGTAATTTTTGACTATATATTTTTATGGTTAATAAAATCTGAATAATTCTGCTGAAGAAGCTGTGGCTTACACAGCAAAACATTGAGAGAAATCTTGTTTCGACTTTAACCTAAACACGCTTGGATTATTTTAAATAATTTATTAAAAAAACTTTAACATGTGCGACCCATTTAGGACCAAACAATAAGATTTTAGCATGTCTAATCTGTTTCAAAAATGCACACTAAGATTAATACTGAACTATGATTTTTGATTTCCACACATCCTAAGAAAACTAACAGCTCGTCAGATAAAATACTGATAATAATAATAATAGTGGAAAAAACGTTGCAAAGAGAAAAGGGAAGGTTGGGAAAATATTAAAGTTAAAATAAATGTATACTTGACGTCCAATTGAGCAGAAGAGAGGATGGCTCACTCAAGAGAGATGTCTATAGAAAACCTACATCTGTAGGACAATATACACATTTCCTCAGTTTTGTACCAATCCGATATAAAATCAATTTGGTCAGATGCCTTACGAATAGAGCAAGACGTATTTGTACAAATGACTCCCTAGAAAATGAGGTAGGATATATCCAAAATACGCTGGTCCAAATGGGTTATCCTAGTAGATTTGTTAGGAGACACATGAATACCAGGTACAATGAAGAAAAACTCACAACAGTTAAAAAGAAAGAACTGTTCATGAAACTTCAATTTAATGGGGACGTGGCTAGTGAAGTCTTACATCTGAGATTATCCAGAGCGATAAAACGGACTTATACTGCTGCCACCCTTTGTTTGTCATTTTCTAGCCAACCAATTTTGATTGCTCAAGCGAAAGATAAGCTACCTAGTTGTGCCACTTCGATGTGTATCTATAAATTTAGTTGCTCCTGTGGAGAAAGCTGGCTATATAGGGCGAACAACTAGACAGCTTAACAAACGCATTAATGAGCATCTTCCTTCATGGTTCGGAAAAGGTCAAATAAAATTCATACGAAGTCCTATTTTGGCTCATTTGATTGATAGTGGTCACCAAGTGGACAAAAATAGTGCTTTCAAAGTTATCTATCGCATTCCATCGAGCCTTTCGAACGGAATCAGAACCCGTCTTTTACACCTAGCCGAAGCTATGGGAATTCGAGGGAACAATCCTAGTCTTTGCATACAAAAGAAGTTTGTTTTACCTTTGTCTCTTCCTTGGCCTAGGTGAATTCTATTGAAAACCCTCACACCCTTTCTTATTTTTCCATCTCCTTGGTACTTTTATAATATTTATTTAAACTCTGATTATCGTTTCACTTCACCTTTTAAGATTTAACTTAATTTATTTGTTTATTGAATTGTCTACATATACACTTATATACATATACTATCTTTGTTATTCTTATCACCTGCATAAGCCTTATTATCAATATTTTGTTATCATTATAATCATCGTTATTAATTTTGTTCATTTACCACATTATTATTATTAAGATTATTATTTGATTCCCAAAATCACCGTCATTGGTTAAAATTTTATATATAAATCTATGTAAATTAGAGTAAAGCCTGAAGAAGATCTAATTGAAAACAATATTGTTCGCTTATATGTCTTGTTCTAATATTATAAATGGGAATATTTAAAGATTTTAAATGTATACTGCCAAGGTGGATTGACGCTAACTACTGTCTCCTTTCGTATACATTGGTCTGGCTTCCTTAATCTGATTGCATAGGCTTCAGCAAACACAAGAGCCTTCTTGCTACCTGGCTTATTAATATCTATAAAGCTTTTATTCAGCGTTAATGTATGATCACAGTCCAGAACGTGTACGTTATTAGACGGTTGAAAGTTATCTGCCAGAAACCCTGAACCTAAATTTCCTGATTACTGGAGCACTGACTCGTCATACTGAGGACTAGACATATGAAATTGATCATTCTGCAGTGACCAGTCAATGTGAAAAGTACAAACTATATATATATATATATATATATATATATATAATCTCCTCAGATTCTCATGGATTCTAGGTGCAACAGAAGGATCCATCAAACCTTCATAGTATAAATGGTGTTTACCGGACAGAAATGAACTAGTCAGGTGTGTTAATAACAACCGTTCTTTTATTAAATATCTCTTCACTATTCAAATTCCTGATGGTTCATTTTTTGTGGATAAACATGTCTGCCCCTAGAACGGTTGCTTCAGTGATGAAAGCCATTATATATGCGCCTTGTTCCAACTGAGACTTGCCATCTGGATGTGTCCGTATCACAAGAGAGTTATAGTATTCTCAATGAAGGACTCAAAACTAGGTCCTATTGTTTCAAACGTCAGAGAGGTACCCACAATAGGACCTGGTTTTGGATTTCAGTGGGGGGTATCACGACTCACTTGCGATAAGGTCTTATTCAACAGGGAGGCTCCAAATAGGATGAGATATGAGTCATGGATTCTCCTATTAGGCGTATCAACAATCAAGTTGATAAGTATGTCAGTGAATGTTCATCTTTGAATTATTCATCAGCGGAGTGATACTAATAACTAGGTGAGTAGGAATAACTTCTCTGTCCTGTTGGTTGTATGAAGGGAAGAAGCAATATGCTATAAATGTAAATCCTCTACTTAATGCCACTAGCCATTAGTACGTACCTGAAACATTAGGAGAATTGGTGTCTCTTCGCTTCAACTTCTGAATAAGTAAAAATAACGGAAAGTTCTAGGGAACTAGCAGTATTTCGAGTGCAAGTAATACTATCTAGCGAACTTTCAATTTTTATTGAGAAGAAGGTGCATGAAAATGTTCTGTTTATTAGAAGTAAAGACTAACAGTCATCCGGTGCTAACTGATTTCACAAACTACTATAAACTAATTGCAAAAAATCCAATAAAGCTTGACTAGTTACTTAATTACTTCTTATCAGTAAAACAGCAATGGGATCTTCATAGGTTCCCAAGTTAGCGTATTTCTTTCTGAGTAAATCAGAAAATGATCCGTTGAACAACCTTATTGGAAAATTCTTATTTGGTTGCCCGTTTACAGATGATAATTTCACTCTTTATGAAAGTGATTTCGACAAGAATGAAATAATATTTCAATTGAATGAAGTAAATTCAACTATGAAATTCATGTGTGAAGAAGTATCCCAAAGTTAGATTACCTTTCCAGACATCTTACTGACAAGAAGACCAGACTGCAGCATAAAAAGGAATTCGCACAAGAAAAGTACTTGGACCGGTCAACATATACGCGTTTTCATAGTTTTGTTCCTCTCCAGTAGAAAATAAATTTGGTGAAGACCCTCAGCTGTAAGGTGACTGAAGACGAACTTAAAGTCATATTCAACATGTTAATTCAAAACAGCTACCCTGAAAACTGCTTCACCAAACACTGATCCTGTGGAGCAAGTTAGTTGTATTTGCCACTGGTTTCCCTAGGAACTTAGTTCTTCTTACTTGGAAACACCTATCAGTATGGGTAAATAAAGGTGCTGTTATAAAACCATCAACAATTCTATATGGGATCACCTCGTTCAAACAGGCCACAAAGCTAGTTAGCATTGAAGAATCTTTCCATATCATCCATCAAGTATGGAATAAATTACCAAAGGCATCTTCAAACAGCAGAGACCATTACTATTTGCTTAAATCAACCGGAGCTATCTATGCAAAAAAGTAGAAAAAAATGTTGTTAATCACCTTTCTCATGTACCATCTAGGCAATTATTAAATTATTATCAACTCACAGATTATCCATAGCTTCAAAATGCGCTGACATTTCAAATTCTGTACACCAGTGTGGCAGATCTTTCCTTTTGTTCATTTTCACATTGTCTATCTCAATCTGGTGTCGTCTGTCCATTTCTTCAATTAAACTTTGGCTAAACTTATTTCGTATATTACGACACATATCATCTAAGTAAATAGCATGTTCTTGAAAGGTGATGGGATCTAAATATGACTGAGAACAATTGATTTGATCATCCATAGTGACAGGAGAAGATTTTTCCAGTTCATAATACGACTGATTATTCGCTTGAACCTAATTGGCCCATAAATTTATTAAAAAAAAGCGAAAATTCAATATTGCTACAGTACATTATGTTGCCAGGAGTAACGAGAAACAACTTTGTCAGAAACAACTTTCTTGCCCTGAAAAACTTTTCTGGAAATTAGAACTAGATACATAAGCAATAAATTATTATTATTGTTCCCTTGGGTTCCTAGTAGAACATAGGGCTTCAACTACACGTCTCCACTTGCTTCTGTCTTCTGCTGTATTTTTCACCTGCATCCATGTTAATCCATACTGCTTCAGCTCCTCTTCACACGATCTCCTCCATGTCACCCTTGGACGTCCCACTCACCGCTTCCCTTTCGGGTTCCACTCAAGATATGGCCTGACGCGCGATGTCAACCAACGGCCTCCTCAGCCAGTATCCAATCCATCTCCACTGTCTCCTGCATATTTGTTGGGCGATTGGTTCTTGCTTTGTTCACTCCAATAGTTTCTGGTTGGTGATTCTTTCCGGCCATCTGATCTTCAGTATAGAGCCAGCGAAGACAGTTGTTGATAAAGGTCTGCAACAGGCTGTTGGAAATATTCTTTGTGACACACTGGCCAAGTTTCTGATCCATCCGTATAGAAGCACTGACTGAGTTGACGTTTGTATTGAAAATTCGAATCATTTTGTTGTTGATGCTGAGTTGAGTGACAGCGGAAGATTTCCAGATTGGTTTCAGGTTGATGAATGTGTTTGTCGCCTTCCCGATTCTCGATTTGACATCTTCGTCCGTTCCTGTCTCCTGTAGATGAGACAATGCTCCCAAGATAAGTGAATGAAGTAACTTCTTTCAAATCCCTCCCTTTGATGGTGTTGATTGGCGCTGGATGTTGCTGCTTTTGTTGTTGTTGTTGGTTGGTTGGTTATTTTCATAACCTCGGTCTTGTCTATGTTCACCTGGAGTCCTGTCTTTGCTGCTTCTTCAACCAGTTTACGTAGGTAATGGGATATAATTATTATTATTGTTATTATTATTCCCTTATGCTGCAAGTGGGACATACGGCTTCAACTGCACATTTCCACCTTGTCCTATTCTTTGCAGTCCTGTTTAGCTGGCTGCATGACTTCCCATAAGTATTCGCCTCCCCTTCACACGATCTCCTTCACTTCACCCTCAAAGTGACGCTTCCCGTCCGCGTTCTACTGAGGGTCTAGCGCATGACGTTATCCAATGGTTTCCTGAGTGTGTGTTCAATCTATATTCATTTTCTCCAAACTGTTTATTGACCAACAGGCTGTTGATTGATTCGTTCCCGTGCCTGCTTGTAGGTAATTCTTTCTGACCGTCCATCTGTTCTTCAGTATGTATATGTGTATGTGCAATTACTAAGGAATTTGAACCACCTTGTTTCAAATACAGTTTGACTGTATACTTCAATCGCTTCACGAGAGGTGGCCCATTGGTTGATTAGTAATGTAATCCCTTTATTCCAAGCGATAGTAATCGTACAGAATGGAATTTTCGGCGTTTTATTACATACTGTCACAATTCACCTCTTTCTATTAATATATAAATACAAAATATTGTAAAAATAATAAGAACCACAAAGACTGAAAGTTAGTGAAATTTAATGAACAATAAATACCATGTGTGTGCTGATAACTCTTGCTGTTTATTCACTGACTTAAAAAGTCTATAAGCCTCTTTTCTGTCATTTGTCTCTTCACACAAAATTCATGTGAAACATGAAAAGACTTAATTTTGATATTTTGCTGCACCAGCATAAACACTCATGAAAATTCTTCTGGTTTACCCTGCAGAGGCACAAAGAAAAATGTGACAGTAAAGATGATTGATGTCCGGCGTCAGACAAGACAACTTCAGCTAAGTGCTTGCAAGAATTCAAATATCCATCGAAAAGAACAATGTCAGTTAGTTCTGTCCTATTTACAACCTTCAATGGTCTATGTAATAGGACACGGTCGTTTCTGAGAAGTCCAGGGAAGAACAAAGAGGAACAATGAAGGAGAATGAGCAGAACACAACAATCAATAGATTAAAAGAGAAGAGGTTGAGTTATGCTGACAGAAAGTCTCAACATCTTTATGTGATAAGTCAGACGAAAAATTTGCTTAGAAATCAATAAGATATGAGACGACCAACAGAGATTCTAGTAGAAACTGATGTCGAGATAGGAGACATTAGATATACTCTGTCTTTTTGTGTGTTTGTCTATCACAGTGCCATCGATATTGCAGAAATTCAAGGGACTGAATCAATCAGGTTACGCAAGTGTTTTTCGCATCTGATATCTTACATTTAGATGGATTAATTTTAATACTATTTGGGAGAGACCACTTATCAACTTCAGACAAGAATCTTTTCACATCAGAACAATCCAATGCGGAAATTACTGGGATAGAAATTGTCAGGTCATCGGCATATTTAATGAAATTAGCTTTAGAAGAATACGGTAGGTTACGCAAAAAGAAAGCGAAAAGAATGGTGCACTTTCCCCTGAGAACAATAAATTGTCTCCTATCTGAAATAAATAAAAGGAAGACAGATAACTTGCGACCTAGGACTTAATGCGTGCTGAAATCAGCTTGCCTAGTAAAAGTGCCCGAGGAATCGAATCAAAAGTAGCGGTTACTAATATCCAGCCTCTGGATCTCCGATTTGAATCATGCTCCATCTGTGGTGATAGCTGTCTACAAGCCAAAATTGTAGACAACAATTTCTGTCAATGTTTACATCCACAATCGAGGTCATGAGAAAAAAAACAATGACAAAGCTTAACCTTAAGGAAATCGCTAACCAATCACAGTAGACTTCACGTGTGAAAATACGATTTGCAGATATATGGCTTAACTCTCTAAGAAACGGTCACAAGCAGTACAGAATAACCTTCGGCATGAAAACAAACAATCAGAAGATGTTGCTTCTCCGCTGACAATAATGTGCATAAAAATCTATAAATATCTCTTGATTTATTCAATAAACGATCTGTTGCCTGACCCTTGTCTTCTGCCATTACACATTTACTTTATTTTTTAGACGCCTTCTTGAAATTTGGCAACCTGATGTGATACATGTCTGTGAAACTTTCTACATTTTTAAGCAAATTAGTCACTTGATTGCTCAGTATTCTTCAATACTACTTTTATTATATAAAAGTGCATTAAAGTGGTTTACTAATTCGACCAATATTTTAGACATGTCTGATTCCCCGTATTATGCAACAGCCAAACGTTTCTTGAAGCTCTCCCAACTTCTGCATAATTAATTAATCAGGGATGGCGTGAAAAATATTTTTCAGGAGTTGGTTTGTAAGGATTGAATTTGTTTTTAAGAGATTTACCATGGACTGATATCAGTTAGAGAACCATTGAACACTAGCATCGGAAATCATCGGAAGTACGCACCCACCGCCAAGTTTAGAACCCAGGACCTTCCGGTTCCAAGGCAAGCTGGCTCGTATACCATTCAGTCACTGGGACCCGATTCAATAGCCAGCCCATGAATTCCAACTTCTACGAATTCGTGATTTAGCGCGACTGGCACCAACCAATGTCATCGGTGGGAAATCCATCCTCACACTTGACTGGTTGGATCTCTTTGGACCTCACTGCCGATGATCGCCGAAACTAGGATGAAACAGTTGTCCAGTACTCTGGTGCTGGTTCTTAGAAGGTTCTATAACTGATATTAATCCGTGGTCGAACTCGTCGATAGAATAAGAGATGTAAATGTGAATGAAAAGTTCACAATGCCTTGTGATGTATCCTCCTTTTTCTGTCATGTACCGTTGACTGAAATTGTGGATTTTATGTGCGATGAGATTATTCAGTGAAACATCGACATCTCTATTTCTGTATCCTCCATGAAGGAACTTATTTTGAGATGTACGATGAACGTTCCTTTCTTGTTCAACAGGTAATATTATAGATAAACTGATGGTGTGACTATGAGTTCCTCATTAGGTGAAATCCTGGCCGATGTTTTCGTCACTAAGTTAGAGAATGGACCACTGAAAGAAGCAATTCATGAGTTGGAATTCTACTGTCGATATGTGGATGATAAACTTCTGATTATGAAAGACGAGAATGAAGCAACGGACATCCTTAATAAGTTCAGTGATTCTCATTCAGCAATAAACTTTACCATATAGAAAGAAAGGAATTAATGTATCTCATTCGTGAATGTCTCGCTAACCACGAAAGAGGATTGTACATTGAGAAGGAAACCTACAAAGACAAGTCAGAAAATTCATTTTTTGAGTTTCCCAACTTTGAAATATAAATACAACTTCCTAAAGTGTCTGGTTCATAGGGCTAGGATAATCTACTCAAACGACTCTCTCAATGAGGAACTTAAGATTATCAGAGATAAATTCATTGGGAAAAATATGAACTTAGCACCAAAACAAGCAAGGCAACAGCTCTAAGAAAGTCATTGCTGGTAAAACTGTAGTGCCTCGGTGATAACATCAGCAAAATAGTAAGGCAGTGCCTGAAGAACGCAGTTATGAGAGGTTTCAGTGCAGCAGATATCCGTTGTCTCTTTACTACCACCCCTATTTCGCTTTCCAGAAGTAATGACAAACTACCTAATTTCGTCTTCTCTATGTTCATCTACCAGTTCGATTGCAGCTACGGAGCCAGCTGCACTGGGCATACGATTAGGCAAGTTCATCATCGGGTTTTTCAATATCATATTGCATGATTAAAACAAGGGACAGATAAGATCTATTTTTTACCTAGCTGTGTTTCAGTACACCTTGTAGACAGTGAGCATAAAGCCGATGTTAATACAGAATTTAAAGTTATTTGTCGCATTCCAACTAATCCTAATTTTGCCTTACGACCTCGTCTTCTACATACAACTGAAGACATTGGAATCCAAAGTATATTTTATTTACAAGGAACGATTAGTGAAGAGGTTAAGACCAAGGTAGAATAATAGACTGGACAAACTTTTTCTGTATAAAGAGTTCAGGGTTGTATTGATCAATTGTCAGAGCCTCCGCCATACACAAAAGCCGAAACCTGACGCCCTTTGTACCATTTGGCCTCACTTTGTAGATGATCTTGAAAGACGATTCTGGTGGAGCTACGTGGCCTGAGTTCACCAAATGCTCGAGAATTGAGCTAGTAACTGTCTTAGATTGTCCCTTTGCTAACCATGCCCGATAACGTTCAGAGATGCGTTTGGAAAGCGTGCGCTTTGTGTGGCCAATATAACTAGCTCCACACGAGCAAGCGAATTTATAAACACACTGCCGCTTCGGGCCACCTCAATGTGTGTTTATAAATTCACCTGCTCGTGTGGAGCTAGTTATATTGGCCGCACAAAGCGCACGCTTTCCAAACGCATCTCTGAACGTTATCGGGCATGGTTAGCAAAGGGACAATCTAAGACAGTTACTAGCTCAATTCTCGAGCATTTGGTGAACTCAGGCCACGTAGCTCCACCAGAATCGTCTTTCAAGATCATCTACAAAGTGAGGCCAAATGGTACAAAGGGCGTCAGGTTTCGGCTTTTGTGTATGGCGGAGGCTCTGACAATTGATCAATACAACCCTGAACTCTTTATACAGAAAAGGTTTGTCCAGTCTCTTATTCTACATTGGAATCCTCTTTAAGAAGCCCAAAAAAATTCATCAGAGATAATATAAAGAAGAGAAAAAAGAAGAGGGTAAAACCAGAGAATGACAAGAAGGAGGAAGGCAAAAAAAACACACAATCACAATACCATACAAAAATGGTACATCAGAGGCAATTCGAAGAAACCTCAAAAATATTGCGATTCGCACCACGTTTAAACCGACGAATCCAATTAAAAATAAGATAAATCAACTGAAAGATCCAATAACAATGATGGATTAAAACAATGCAATTTCCAAAAAATATCTTGTACCGAGTGTCCAACTAAATATGTGCGTCAGACGTCCAGATCACTCAAAATGAGAGTGATTGGACATAAACACCTAACCTAACCTTTGAGTACAACTCACTCATCAAACTATTCATGCCATTGCGTAACTCTTATTTAACAATCATTTATGACAACTCATCACTTTTGTTACTACCCTCCTATATGAACATCCAATTCACCTAAACTTACTCCTCTCTAACAATCGTTTTTGACAACTCATCAATTTTGTTGCTATCCTCTTATCAACATCCAATTCATTTGAACTTACCAACCGTATTTTGTTTGACAAATTTAATGTATACACACACACACACAAAATAACCATATATATTTGCGATTGTACAGCTTTGAAAATGAATTCGCCGAAAAGAGACTCTTTGCTGAACTATTTGTCTTTTGTCTACCTAACTAAAGGTCAACCAACAGGAACACAAGTTTACAACAATTCAGAAAAAAAATCGGCTATAGCTACACATGTATGGGACAAAGTCACAATACTGACTGGAACAATGCTTGCATTCTGAAATCTAATAAGAACAAATTGAAAGAGAGACTAGTAACAGAGTCTATATTCATTAAGGTCACACCGGATACATGTAACAAGGGTGACTTAGCAGCACAACTGTCAAAAACCTGGAAAATAATTCTAGATACATATAAATGAACGAACAAAAAATATTGGTTCTGCAGGGATTGTGTTTGATTGGTTGGAAGGTTTCATCATGAACTGACATCAGTTAGAGAACCTTTAGAAAACCTGGGAGTACCGGAAAGCTGTTTCGTCCTAGTTTGGGGCTCTACAGCAGTACGCCTCCACTGTCTGGGTTCGAACCCAGGACCTTCTGATAATGTATATATATATATGATTACAAACCACAAAAGTATGAATTAAATAAGCTTAATTCCAACAGATAATGTGATCACGGGTAGTAATTTTGTTCGAAATATTACCAAAACAAAAGATGTAGTTAATATTGTGTTTAAATTATTGAAATATAATGATGAGTAATACAACTTTAACTTACTCTTAATCTTGCCCAATTCACAAGATATTTAGCCCTGACTAACGATTCATTGATACCACTTAAAAGGAAATCATTTTTCAGTGATGCAGTTGAATTGGCAGAAGTAGAAATAGGATTTGTCTTTGTAGTTGACCATGATGCCATTGATAAGGAACGAGATCGCCAACCAGCAGAAGATGTATCATAACCAGTAGATTGTAAATGTGATTCTTGATGACAGCGTATATGTACAAAACAGTCTGAGTTTGATTCACTGTTTTGCAGAACTACTTCAGTTTTCCTTTCAACTTCTGTTCAGATTACAAATGGAAACTAAATATTAGTTGGAGGATTTCATCATCAGCTGAAACTAGTTAGAGAAGCATTAGAAAATCTGGGAGTACTGGACAGATGTTTCGCCGGCCTAGTTTGGGACTCCTCAACAGTGTGCACCCACCGCCAGGACTCGAGCCTAGGACTTTCTGGTTACAGGGCAAGTTCGTAGACTATTAAGCAAGCCACTGGGACCTGATCCAGTGAGTGGCCAGCCCATGAATTCCAACCTCTGCTAATGCATGGCATAGCGCGAGCACTTAGCAATATCTTCGATGAGTAAGTGTCCTCATCTTCGACCTAATGTACCCTAATGGTGGCTACATATCACTCTAAGTGGAATCGTCATAAAACAATTTCACCTGCTGAATTATTTACAAGAGAGGAATCACTGAACACACGTTGGCAAAGTTAAACTATAAGGATTCATGCAACTCGAATATACGAGTGTTCTTCAGCCAACCAACCAATCAGAAAAACCAGTGGTTTTTACAAAAAAAATCAGGTTTATGCACAGGAGAAATAGATGACATGACTCAAAAAGACCTCCTAATTATAAAGAGGAGTATTAGTTTTTTGATATAAACCTGTTTCTATACACCTTATTCATCAAGATGGCTGAAAATGAGTTATTTTTGTGACCCGCTTATTGCTCTTATCCTGTTATGCAGTCTCCCAGAGAAGCTCATGTCTCATCTAGTAGGGGTTCTAGTAAGGCGGTCGACTAAATGATCATCAGAATGATCCACTCAATCAATGGTGAATGAAACCCAAATCTGATAGCCGATTGTACCCCATGATGAAAGTGTTTTTTTCCTTCACGTTCCCAGCGGAACATAGGGCTTCAAGCTAGTGGCTTGAAGTTTCTGTAGCAGTGTTTATTTTACAGGATGGGGTTGCTAGCCTCATGCCCAACCTTTCCTCTTCACCAGCATTATTTCTGGCTTAGCGAGGTAAGGGAGGAGTGCGTCGGCCAGGGATCGAACCCCGGACCGTGTGCATAGTCGGCGAGCGTCCTAACCACTTTGCCACCGACGCACATAATTCAGTTATGTGTGATATATGCAACTACTTTGTCAAAGATATTGTCAGTTGAATAGAGATAACATTTCAGTATGCGAAAAAGTACCTTACAAACTTAGTATTTATTATCAATGATGTGTTTATTCTGTTGATTTACCGAAGCCAGTGCATGCCGGTCATCCATCCACACATGATAACAGTTACGTCAGACAAAGTCATATTACCATGTTATGTGAACATTAGCTGCCGACTAGAGGTGTTCAGAGAAGTGTGAACTGTCTGTATGCGGTAGATGTGATATTTAAAATGGATGGTTGCAGAATGTGGGTAATTTGTTCCTAGATCCGTCGATGTGGTATAAATTAATCTGTACTTTATTTGTGTATTGATTTATTTTTGCTCTCTTCATTTTCAGTAACATCTATTCTTGTGCTCAAATAAGGTGTGAAAACTAACACTATTATTAGGTGAAGCTACATAATATGTTGTCGATGTCTATATGTTCATGAGGATAGATGAAAAACCGAATGCAAAGCAACTCTGCGGCTACATGTTTGTCCGTCTACTGTAACGTAAAGTTGAGAAATGCTAATTGGCTATCCAGACTTCAGAAGGTGGAAAACGGTTCAAGGTCACATCACATTGTTTAAAAGTCAAGTGCCTGAACCCAATAACCTGATGTAATCACACAAATTTGGAAAATGAACACGAATTATTAAGGTGAAATGAAACTGAGGCTTAGACTGAATACGTTACAGTTCCCGTCATACTTCATTTTATTCATAAAGCTTACTACCATGGTACAAATAATTTGAGCATCATTTGTTTATTATGAATTTTGATAATGACACTAATTAAAGTTAGAAATATATTGAACGTTAAAGAAACCACCAAATACAAAAAGTACTCAACACTATATTAAGACAGTTAACTGAGGAGTGATTTACTTTCAAAATTCACAATAAATTTTATTACAATTTATAAATTAACTGTTAAATTTCAATACCTTACTAGTAGGATAGTAGGATATCTAGTTAAAACATTAATTAATACTACTTGAAATCCCTGAATGTTGTTCCTTTGTTTAATGATAACATACACACTATCCTGTTAACAAATAACAGGCTCAATTTAAACTGAAATGAATGAATGATGAAAGTGTAGACACTACAATTGGGAATTACTTCCACGATTCCCTTGTGAATTTTTGGTTCGCAAGTTCCTAAAGCTTCATGATTATTTGCCCTAGGGCATCGATATGAACAATAACACTAGTTCTTCCTAGCAGATGAGTGACAGTATTCATCCTCCAGAATGCCATATCTTTGTATTGGTGGAATCATTGTACAGTAGATACTAAGGAATTTTCCTTAGGTACAGCCATTGATCTCAGACCAGTCTTATTCGTAAATAATCCTTATTAAAACAGAACAAGTAGTTAGGCGAAGAGGCTCTTTGTGGGGAAAATTCAATTCCCTTACCTGTTCAATCGCATTTACATACATTTTTTCATGAAAGAGGGTGGTAAAAAAAAGTAACAAGTTGTCACAAACATAGTTGTAAACACTATTCAATGCACAAAAGGAATTGAATAAATGTATTAGAGTTATGTAATAAGGTGAATAACTTAATGAGCGAGTTGTAATGAAAAACCGCATACAAACGAAGGAAAACACAGAAGCATTTAAGAGTTCTAAAGAATGACAACAGTTATGGGGAGTTGGAAATATAGGTACATAAAAATCAAGTAAGCAGAAATCCATAAGGTTGATACCATGATAGCAGAAGTGGTTGAATAACTTTCTTTTTTATATACAGTTCTGGTTTTGTATCTGAATGGCTAGAGGTTCAGTTATGCAAAGGAGATAAAAGCGTACTCCATTTGGCAAGTTCTTTTTCCCTTTGTAGATTACTCTGAAGGAGGAGTTTGCTGAAATGTAATGACCAGTGTTGACATAGTGTTCGACTGTCCCATTCCTTATAGAGCAACTACCACCTTTCCACAGCCAAGCTGGATAGCACTATTGAACTTTTAAAGACAGGATACGCGTTGAACGATCAATATACCCTGTTCTACAGAGAAGGTAGTGAGACGCAAAATCTTGTCCTCAAGGTTTCTGCAGATCAATGAACCACTGGAGAGCACTATTGTTGGCGTTTTCGCGGGAAAAACAAGTCCTCATACTGACTGATGCTGACAACTAAGATCATGACAACTTTTCAGTTTTTTACTACACTGTTTCATGAAAAATTTGTATGCAAATGCGATTGTACAGCTCAGTGGCAGAATTTGCCGGAAAGAGACTCTTCGCTGAACTATTTGTTGTTTTTATTGACTAAAACTCAGCTCACTGTTCATTATTAGCTGACTACAGTTCTTGTTCAGCGAAGAAATTTCTTTTCAACGACTTCATTTTCAAGCTGTACAGTCGTATTTATATTACAGAAAAGGTCATTAAGTGACACTAAATAATTGCTCAGTCAATATACACATATGTGATAAGAATAACGATAATTAAAATCTTTCAAAGTTATCTACATGGCAAAATCGAATCTATCCAAAAGTTTACGTTTTCTTCACTTATGCATAGCCGAAGCTTTAGCTGTACATGAACAGAAACCTAAATTATGTGTTCAAAAACGTTTTGTCAAACCCCTTTCTTTACCTTGGTCATAGTAATGTTCTTTCTAGTTTTTATTTTATTTTATTTTACCACTTGAATTCTTTCCACTTCACTTCACATCTTGATTCTTATCGTAATCGTACTCTTATTTTTTAAAATATTTAGACAACACTTGACATTTTTAAAACATTTTTGATTTCAATTCACTTATAAAACAATCTTTAATAATTTTGTAATTTATCCACTTCAACTCTACCTCTTATAACATTTTAATTATCGTTATTCTTATCACATATATGTATATTGACTGAGCAATTATTTAGTGCCACTTAATGACCTTTTCTGTAATATAAATACGACTGTACAGCTTGAAAATGAAGTCGTTGAAAAGAAATTTCTTCGCTGAACAAAAACTGTGTTTTTACTTATGAATAAATGGGTATTTTTCGTGACTACAGTTCTGTTGAGAAATTATAACTGGAAGGCTTCACCAAATTGGTTATTATGAATTCATAGGTAAGACGCTTGTCTTATAACATGAATGTCATGGATTCTGTTCAAGATGGTACAATGAGTGCGTCTTTTAAGACAGTTTCTAAACTAAGTCAAGACAGATGTCCAATTCCCCTTGTTCTTCAGATGTTCTCCAGAAGGCATCAGTTAGGGAGGAAATTTACGTTATAACTTAATAAATTGCTAAACATCAATGTTAGAAAACTAGTTTTAGGCTTGACAATCAAATGATAGACATTCTGAGGTTAAATTCTGCGAATTGCGCTATTCAAGCAAAATATCAGTACATGAATAAATCCCCTTAGCCCAGTACTCTCGTTTGATGCATTTCTACATGATTAAAGTTTTTCAAATACAGCAAGTACTACAGTTTGTGCAGAATAAATCAATCCCATAATTTGTTTCGTCGACTTCTCATCAGCTGCATACAACCTGAAGAAGTCACTAAGTTGATGTTACACAACAATTTCATTATCCTTGCAAATGTTATATAGTGTCAGTTAATGACAGGAGACTCCAAACTTAATAAACACTGCTCAGTGTTGGAAAAGAGTAAGTGGTGGCCAAACAAAAACATGGCATCAATCCATGAAATCCTTGACAGTTAAACTGAGTCAGGTAGGGGGATGCAGACTTCCTGGTTGGGACCCGCCCTCGCGACTCTAAGAATCGATGGCCCAAAATCGTTGTCAGTGGCGCAGATGTATTCAGTCTCTGTAATCTTTCGTATTCCTTTCTACCATTATTCATTCTGTTTCACTCTTATACTTGTCAAAACTCTATTGATTCTCTTCACTCATTTTCTTGTCTACCTTTGTGTGCTATTTGGAACGTGGTAACTCGACCTGCTGCACTTCGGTGCCAAGTTCTATGTTGAGTCCAGACAGACAGACAGAAACACTGCTCAAAAATTACACTTATATAGCTTATTTTAAGAAAGTTCGACTTTAAACGAAAAATAATTTTTCAAGAGTTAGTTGGTAGGCACTTGATTTGTCTCCAATTTTATCATAGAAATAATATCACAGTTAGAGAACCATTGAAAACCAGAGGGAGATACTAGACCTCTCTTTCGTCAGCCTAGTTTGGGACTTATCGAAAGTACGTACCTACGGGGATTCGAACACAGGACCCTCCGGTTATAAGACAAGCTCGCAGACCATTTAGCCTTGTGAAGCTCACCTCACTGGCAAGCCCATGAATTCTAACTTCTACCAGTTTGTGATTTTAGTGCGATCACCAGCTACTAATGTCATTCGTGGCGATTTCTTCCTCACTTCCGACCAGTACTCCTTGGTTTTCAGTGGTTTCCTAACCGATGGCAATCCGTGGTCAAACTTGAAACAAAAAATAAAGGTTGAACAAAGCAATAACAACAATTGTACCAGGGTAATATGAGCTCATCTTTTATTATTTCGAGGATTCTTCTCAACTGGTTACAACCTGAACGATGAAAAATATGAATTACATTACAGTAAAGATTTGAACATAATTTTCCACGATCACAAGGAGTAATTGGTAGGAAGTAAAAGTAACATTAGTCCGGAATGATTTAACTAACTAAGAGTTACAAACACTGACTATTTATAGAATAATTCAAATGAATTGCGATCAATATTTGACAGTTTATAAATATTTATAGAATAATTAGGCAATTAGGCTTGGAAACAAAAACAAATAAGCTGTTGTATATATTTTTTCACCAGGGCAGTGCAAGATTCACCACTGTCTCTTTCTGCGTACATAGATTTGGTTTAAGTCGTCTGATAGCAATTGCTTCAGCAAAGCGTAGCAAGTTAGGTTTCTTTTGATTGTTGATTGTTTTGAATGACTTTAAGTTGTCTACATTATGACCAGTGTCTAATAGATGACGCGCAACTGCACTGTTTAATACTTGTGGACCTTTCAGTCTCAGGTTCTTTGGTATGTGTTCAGAAATGCGGACAATAACCCTTCTCTCTGTTCTTCCGATGTATGTGCTTTGGCACGTAAATGTAAATTGGTAGACACAGTTCGAGGGTAACATGAGGTGGGTATTTGTCCACTTTTGATTGTCTCAAACAACTAGTTGTTTGATAAACAAATACAAGATTGGCGGCTGGATATGTTCTTTTCAGGGCAGCGTTCAGTCTGCATCTTATTCTACTGGCAGTATCATCACCTTTGAATGCAAGCTGCAGAAAGATAGGCTTTTTCCCTACTGTACTGATTTTCACTTTTTCAACATGACGTCTCCCATACTTGTCGATGAACTTTTGTGGGTAAACGTTGTCGCGTAGGCATTTCTCCACAATGGATAGCTCTTCCTCAATCTTTTCTTCTGAACACAGCTTGGTTACAATGAAGAAAGTGTTACGTAATAAAGACAGCAGGTGAGTAAGCTGATGAGCAACTAATGTACTGAGTAACAATTTGATGAATTCAACTCAAGTCATAGAAACAGGAGACAAGCAGACTTACACTCCAGAGATCGGGGCAAGGGTCAAAATCAGAGACTATGTAATCAAATGAAAGAGAGAGAGAGTAAAGGATTTTTCACTGTCACTGTCACTATCACTCAATAAAAATACTCAATGGTATGGTTATACATGTTGCTGAACTTACCAGATTGGAAACTTAATTCACTATCCACTGGTAACGATTCACTAGTTCCACTTGCTTTTCTGTCAGATATAGAAGTTGTCTCCATCGGTTCATGGGGATAGATTTTGTCTGCCTCAGATTTGGTTTCAATTCTTTCTGTATTTGGGGCAGATAATCCCAATTCAGATGAACGAAACGACGATGAACTCGTAACTTCTTTACGATTAGAAAATTTCAGAAGTAAACATCTTATTCGGTGAGCGTCACTTAGCCAGGATTTCAGTTCAGCTTGACGTCGATTCTGATCGTCAAATAATGTGATTCCAGGTAAGATAAGGCTTTGAGAAGGAAATATGTAGAGTGCAAAAAAATCTTTAATTCACCAAAATTGAATATTTGGTGAGAATTTATTTTCAAAAAGGGATGTATAGACATCCAATAATTGATTTTTGCGCTACACTGAAAAGTTTATTTTGACTGGAAACTAATCAGTAACTAGTGTAATGTATCTAGTCCTTAGTTTGATGCAGACTGAATTCTATCAGTCACTTTGGCAATGTAACCACCACTCTAAGTGTCTCGCCATCACGATGCACTTTGAATAGTAAATATTAGATGATTGGAAGGCACATGCGTTCCTTCAAGGTTGCAGATACGCCTTGTTGATTGGTGAGCGCCAACTAGCACGAAACCTAGCTACGAGGCTTCCTGCCGATTGCCTCCAAACATCTAATATCAACTGAAAAGTTTATCTTTCATGCGAAAGACTTCTATGAGTGTGGATGAGTTGTTTTCGATCCGAGCTTTGAGATAATTGTAAGAGCTTACGGTGTCAGTCCAAATGTCATCCTCAGTGGAAGTTCTTCAAAATATTCTACCATAACAGCTGCAAATTTCGGCCAATGCATCAACATAACTGACGCAATTTTCCACTTTAACTTCTTCATTAAATAAGTGGGTTCTTCCTAATTTAAATCAGATTTTGGGATCCGTGAAATCTATTATAACAAATCTACAACATGCTTATAATTCACGCAAATGTACAGTACTTTGTTCGTCTAGGCTCCTGGATATTCTACATTTAAATGCGGTGAGATCCATCATGTACAAGGGAGATAAATGGCCATCTAGAGAGGTGACTATGGCAGAGCTATGGGATGAAAAAGCTTGAGCGCAATGGTGAATCAATTTTAGATCAAGTGGCTAAGTGTTCCAGAAAAACAAGACCAGGATTCAAAAACGAAACTCCCACCGAACAGTAACAGGATGCGGTCGGAACGAATCAACAAAGTTGCCAGAAAGGATAGAGCTAAAATATTGAGAGAAATGATACAGACAACATTACAACAATTCAAACTCTACATCATAATAACCGGCACTCCAAAAACAATAGACAGAGCTGACCGCGAAATAATTCGGAAAACACTTCAACAAAATATAGTGCAGTGCCCCCAAAATTACATGAACCCCGTTCAACAGATATGCGACAACGCCACATGCAAGTCATCCACAAACGAAACCCAGTGAAGCGGCCTATCGAAGTGAAGACAGGAGTACGAAGAGGCTTTCCGCCTGCTATCACACACGATGATACTCCTAATTGTGGTGCAACAAATTATGCGGATGATCGTGTAGTGAGAAGAGCGAGAAGACACGAATACACTACGCCGATAAGAAAACTCTGCAAGATCTGGATTTCGCGGACGATTCGTGTTTAATGTTGCATAAATTAGAAGATGACTCACAGACGAAGACCAAAAAGTTGGAAGAAGCAGCAGCGAAGACTCGACTCCAAGTGACCATAAGGATGAGGTGGCTGAGGTGAGGAGATTAACCAACCAAGCAACCAACTAACCAACCAATAACATCAAGTACCAATCACTGTCAATGGAGGAAATTGAAAGAGGTCACTTCCTCCACTTACCCAGCTAGGAAGCATCGTTTCAACTACACGTGACAACATCCATAAGAATGTGAAAACCAACCACGATCGGAAAGAAAAGACAGACCTTCAACACTCTGAAGTCAGTTTGGAAATCTCCTGCGCTAAGCATCAACAGCACAATTCAGATTATAATACCAAAGTCAATTCAGTCAGTTCGTCTATGTGGGTAAGAAACTTGACACATGCGTCGCGTAAAGCATTTCTAACAGGCCACTAAAGACTTGTCAACAGCTCCCTTCGATAGCTTCATACTGCAGAACAGATGACCGGCCAGAAAGAATTATCAACCAGGGACTGAGGGAACGAACCAACAAGCCAGAAACTACTGATCAAGAAATATTCCGAAGTAAATGTAGATGAATCAGACACACAGTGAGGCGACCATTTGGTGACATCGAGCACGACACCATCACTTGAGTGGATCCCGAGTGGGATACGACGAGTTTGGAGTGGATTTGAGGGTGCCTGGGAGGTGATGGTGTGAGAAGGAGATGAGTAGTTATGGTGAGTCAATGGCCAGCCAAAGAGTACCATAGAGAACATGACAGAGTGAAGATGTGTTGTTACAGCCCTGTGTTCCACGTGGAATTCAAGGGAATAATGAAAACCGTAAAATAAATTCACACTTTAAGTTTCATTGTGTGCATTAATTCAACTCATTCGTAAACTGTGACAGTATAGGTATTTATGGGGAGTTGTAGTTTATTGATTTAGACTCTTACTTGTAATTACGGATTTGCTGGTCGTTACCATGCTGAAACAACTGAGTTTTGAACAGAACAGCTGGATAGCATGAATAACTGTCCCAAAATAGGTTTACTTTATTGCTATTTGCATGGATCGTTGTTGAATACGATTTCATATACTAAGAGCATAGTCTTTGCTTCATTTGAATGAATGTCATATTTTTTTAAATTTTGACGACGGAATGATGTTATTTTGAGAACTATTGAAACACCGTATACAGCTGATAAGCCCTAAACTAGCGGGATGAAACAGCTGTCCAGTACTCCCTGGTGATTTTCACTGCTTTCCAGCTGACATCAATCGATGGGCAGACTTGAAACAAATCAGATCTCTGTTAACGAACTCTTGACAAACACTTTTTGATATTGGTTACAGGATTTCATCATGAGCTGACATTGGTTCGAGAACCATTGGAAAAGTTGGGAGTACTGGACAGTTGTTTCGTCCTAGTTTGGGACTCTTCATCAGTACGCATCCACCGGGATTCGAACCCAGGACCTTCTGGTTACAAGGCGAGCTCGTATACCATTAAGCCACTGGGACCCGATCCAATGGCCCATGAATTCGAACTTATGCCAATTTACGATATAGCGCAACCGCTAGCCAATGTCTCCCGACCTGCTGCACCCTACTGATCACGAATTCCCACTGGAACCCCAGGTAACTACCTACCTGAATAGGGCAAGTCGCCAGTGAGCATCTCATTTATATTCAAGTATTGGTTTGTAGGGATTTGGTTGAACGTTTTGAACAGTTTAAACCTTTGACGTGGTTTCCCAGTGGTTAAGCTCTCAACAGCTTCGCTTTTTAACCACAAAGCTCTGAGTTAGATCCATGACAGGATCATAAGTGCATACTGCTGGAATTTCTCGAATTAGGATTTCAGAACCAGTGAATATTTCAGAAAAACCAATTATGTTTGTAAACCTTATTTATATATATATCTTCTTACCTTACTGGTTGTAGATACGACATATCTGGATGGGAATTAGACTCTTGACGATACCATTTATCCAAGATATCTGGATTTAGCGTTCTGATAATTTCACTTTTATGACGTATTGCATCTTCAACCTGTGTCAGTTGTACTGGTGTTATGTTAGAAACTTTCAAAGGAATTCTATTGCTTGCCACTGATTCATTTATTGATGGCATATAAGGCTGTCGGAAAAAACAAAAACAGTTCATGTATATAATACTAATTGTTCAATGTATGCGGTAACGTTGTGGAGGATATTGTATAAATCATCCATATCTCGGCATACAACAGTTTGAATTTTCAAATGAACTGTCGTCAAGATTTGACAGAATAGTTCTAAAATATTTGGGCGCCGAGTGAGAAGTAGACATTTGTAAAAAATTATGTTTGTAAAATCTCAGCGAGATTGAAATGAGTAATTCCAACGTTTCGTTCGGCATTTAATTGGTGGATGGTGATTAGCAGTGGAATCCAGAATGCGAATTTCGTCCCATTTGGGACTCGTCATCTGCATGCACCTGCATTTCTCAGTGAGTGATAATGTTCCCACCGAGGCTCGAACCCAGTGACCATAGTTTCCAACGCCAAAGCAGGTATATCCAGTGAAGAGTCCCAAATAGGACGAAATGCGCATCCTGGATTCCACTGATATTCACCATCCACCAATTAAATACTAATTAAATGCCCAGACATCGTCGAAGCATCTGCTCAAGAAGCCGACATGTCAACCTGAGACCGAACACTTCGGTCCAATCAATCGACGGGAAAAATCTAAAATTCAATTAAGTTTCGTTCGGCAGTCTGGTCCGAACTTCTTCAGGGAAATTAATCGAAATTAACATAACAGAGGTTTATATGTAAAAGGAACATCACTTGTTTTTAAAAACTTTGTCCAATCACGAGTCATTCAACAAGTGTCAACAAGTATAATAAACAAAATTTTATGAGCTGTGATCAAAATTTGACCTCGGTCTTACAAATATTGGTTTACCTTTGTTAAACACTTTAAACAGAGTGTGTATGTGTGCGTGTGTGGATAAGCAGTTGTAAAACATTTCTTAACGTCTCCATAGGAAAGATATAGACAGTCAGGAAATTGACCAAATATTATTAATAAGGATTTCCTATGCATCAGCTAACATCACACCTTCATGTCTGTTCAAACTGTTAGTATCTAGAATTTTATGATTAGACGTATTTTCAAAATTATGGTGTTTAGGATTAGCGTTTAGTGGAAGGACCCTGTCGGACTTATTGCTTTGTCTTCTTTCTGAAGATTGAGCTACTTTATTCGACCTACTGGAGTTGTCAGGGGACTCGACAGCTACGGATTTAGGATATGCATTATTCTGTTGCAGACAACGGAGAGTGAAAACACGATGATTGTGCCAATTACATAGTTTCTTTGTTAACTTAATTCGATTGCAAAATAATTCAAATGAACTGTCGTCAAGATTTGACAGAATAGTTCTAAAATATTTGGGCACCGAGTGAGATGTAGACATTTGTAAATAGTTATATTTGAATTTTTGTTAATTTATTCAAACAAAAAAGAGGTACTGAGTTTAAATTCATCGTCGCTAAGTGTAGCCTACATTCAAGATGTTATTACGAGTCAAAATTAATAAAATTTGGATTTTATTATTTGGATTGCTCTTATGTATCACAATGTGTTTTATTTTATGTGAATTTTTAAATTCTAATAGACTGCAGACTTTCATCAACAGCTGTTTTCACTCTATGCTGAGGATCATTTGGACAACCAGAAAGGATAAACAACAAGAAAGTCTAACAATGAACCAGCAGACTATCTATTACCCAGTGAATAAGCAGGAAGAAAGTGAGAGGGTCTGGAGGAGACCTTCATGTGGCCCTCGAGTGTAACCTGAGTGGAAGGCTTAGGTGTGGGTCGAAAGGTGACATGAAGGGGACAATATGTAGAGGGAATGAAAGCTTGTGAGCAATTTCCTTTTAAGCAAAGAAATCATTACAATGAAGTTTTACCTCTAAGACCCTCCAATGAATAATAATAGTAATACAATAGTGAAATTCTCTCACATACAACTTCTTGCAAAGATCAAATTTCACCTGACCTAGATAGTACTCCCATCAGTTTGTTGAAGATGTAGGATTGTAAAAGTTGACAATTATATATGGCATACAATTCTGAAACGTTGATTCTTCCTTCTTCTCTCAATCATCTCATTTATTATACTACGTATCATTCCCTTGAGTTCCAAGTGGAACACAGGACTGCAACAAAACATCTTCACTCTGTCATGTTCCCTATGGTCCTCTTTGGCTGGCCAATACTCATCATAACCTCTCATCTCCCCTCCAAGGCACCGTCACATCCACTCCAAACTCATTGTATCCCACTCGGGATCCATTCAAGTGATAGAGTCGTGCTCGATGTCACCAAATGGTCGCCTCACTGTGTCTGATTCATTTGCATTTACTTCGGAAAATTTCTTGATCAGTAGGTTCTGGCTTGTTGGTTCGTTCCCACAGTCCCTGGTTGACAATTCTTTCTGGCTGGCCATCTGATCTGCAGTATGAAGCTATTGAAGGCAGCTGCTGACGAGTCTTTAGTAGCCTGTTAGAAATGTTTAACGTGACGCGTGTGTCAAGTTTCTGACCCACATAGACGAAGTGACTGAATTGACTTTGGTATTAAAATTCTGAATTCTGCTGTTTATACTTAGCGCAGAATATTTTCAAACTGACTTCAGAGTGATGAAGGTCTGCCTCTCCTTTCCGATACTGGCTGATTTTCACATTCTCATGAATGTTGTCACGTGTAGTTGAAACGATGTTTCCTAGCTGGGTAAGTGGTGGAAGTGGTCTCTTTCAATTTCCTCCGTTGACAGTGATTGGTTGGCTGGTTGTTTGTTATTCTTACCACCTCTGCCACCTCATCCCTATGCTCATTTGGAGTCCAGTCTTCGCTGCTGCTTCTTCCAACTTGTTTGGCCTTCGTCTGTGAGTCATCTTCTTATTTAAGCAACATGAGACACGAATCATCCGTGAAATCCAGATCCTTCTTATCGATCTGTTGTATTCATGTCTTCTCGCTCCTCTCATTGCACGATCATCACCATAATGGGTTGCACCACAATTATGAGTATCATGGCGTGTGATAGGAGGCGGAAAGCCTCTTCTTACTGCTGTCTTCACTTCGACAGGCGGCTTCACTGAGTTTCTCTTTTTGAATGACTTGCATGTGGCGTTGTCGCATAATGGTTGAATGGGGTTGATATAGTTTTGGGGTCACTGCACTATGTTTTGTTGAAGTGTATTCTAAATTTGTTTGTGGTCAGCACTGTTGAATTCCTTTGCAATGTCGCTGAATTTGAGTTTGAATTGTGGCCTCCATTTGGTACTGTACTCGGTGATGATGCGTAGAACTGCCATTTGATCTTCACATGTTTCGCGTTTCCTAATCCATCTTTTCATGGTCTGTGTTTTGCATAGAATCAAGTTCCAATTGTCAGCAGAATTACACGATTTATTATTGTTCCAAATATTACAAATTGATCACTATTGGCCATTACGTGTGGGATAACTGAAAATGCATTTTAAAAGCAATGATTTTTAACTTTTGCAAACCTATCCTGCAGGCCAATATCTGGCTGAAAACACTGTTTTTTTAGTTGCTTGATATTTTATCCATTTTCCGGTATGATGACCTGGTCGACATCTGCGCCCTGTTGCTTCGTTGTTAGAAGGTGATACTGGCACTTTGAATACCACTGAGTGAAATCTTCATATCGCCTAAAATTCCACCTAACCTTTTACTCACTATTATGATTATTATAATATTAATATAGTATCCTTTAATTCCTACAGGAACATAGGGCTTCAGCCACGCGTCTCCATTGCGTTCGGTTCTCTGCTAGAATCTTCACTTGGCTCCATGTCTGCCCACACGTTTTCATCTCCTCTTCACATGACCTCCTCCAAGTCACCCTCGCACTGACGACCAACTCGCCGCCGCTTCCCTTTCGGCCGGGTTCCACTAGAGCAATGGCTTGTCTAGTGATGTCACTCACTTGATGGTTTCCTCAGAGTATGGCCAGCCAATCCATCTCCATTTCTTCCTGCCTATTTGTTTCACAATCGGTTCCTGCTGTATTGGCTCGCTCATTGCCAGAGATCTCTGTTACTGATCTTTTCTGGCCATCTGATCTTGAGTGATATTGAACGAATAGAGCTGTTAATGAAGGTCTGTAGTTTGTTTGAGATGCTCTTTATGACTCGCTGGCCAAGTCTCTGATCCGTATAGTAAGTTGCACTGACTTCAAATTGGAGTTGAAAATCCGGATCTCATTTTTGATGCTGAGTGCTGTTGACCTCCACACAGACTTGAGAGTAGTGAAAGCTTGTCTTGCTTTTCCGATCGATTCTTGCTTTGATATCCTCGTCAGTTCCGTCGGCCTGTAGTTGAAACGATGCTTCCCACGTCTCTAGGTAAAAGAGGTTGTTTCTTTCAGGTTCCTCCCATTTATGCTGATTGTTGTCTGTTGTTGTTGTTGTTGCTGTTGGTGGTGTTGCCCAGGAATCTTCATCACCTCTGTTTTATCTATGTTCACCTGAAGTGTTGTCCTATCTTTGATGCTTCTTCTGCTAACTTGTTACTCACTATTGATTACCTGAAATGAAGTCTACAAATCCATGTTTACCTCAGATAGCCTAATCAGTACATTTAATGACAAAGTCAAAGAAAATTTATTATTTTTTAATAATAATACTTACTTGTTTGGTCATCAATTCTTCTGACTGTGATCTTATCGAATTTCGTGATTCTAAATATCTAGATAGACGACGTTGAAGACGCGGGCTATCGAAACCAGGTAGCTTATCTGACAGCATGGCTATCTCAGATTTTATATCTTCAATTTCTTCTAAAGCAGAGTCTTTAATTTGTTTCAATAATCTATTCGATAGACAATCAGGTAATGGCATAATTGGACCAACTGAACGATTCGATAGTAAAATCTGTACAATTAAAAAAACAGCGCACAGATATGATGTACATGGACGTAATATGAAGTTTATTCTTAAATTTATTAAAATTGTAGCTCCAAAAATCTACCATGAAATATTTCGAAAGTAAAATAAATTGTGTGTTAGAGGTTATTCTTGATTAGTGTGAGTGTGGTGAGAGCTGGCTGCTAGTCAAATTGGTAGATGGTAATTTACGTCAATGTTTACGTCCCCAATATTCGTTGTGAGAAAAATATGAACAAAGACTGATTCAACAACCAACCACGGAAGACTTTGCGTAGGCGGATACAGTTAGCAGAGGGATGATCTGACATTCAAGAAACAGCCACAAAGAGATGAAAGATTAACTTCCAGTGTGAAACAACCAATCAGAAGACTGTGTTTTTCTGCTAACAATAATCTATAAAAATGTACATGAAAAGCTATAAATATGTGTTGATTTCCTTAATAAATGATCTGTTGCCTGGCCCTTGTCTTCTTTTGTTATATGAGTAGTTTTATAAGCTCATTTCTACTTAATTGTAGGTGAGTATCACTGCTATTCATCCTGATCAACTGGACTTACCTAAATCCCCGGCTATTAATGGTGTTTCCTCTGAGATTTGAGCCCAGCACGCATCGTTTGAAACACCATCATCAACTAAACAATATCATGTCTGATTACGAAATGACTTCAGTTAGAGAACCACTGAGAATCAGGGAGTAGTAGACTACTGATCGGTCCTAGTTTGGGACTCTTCAGTGGTTCTCAACCCTAACCCTTATGGTTACCGAACCCAAGACCATCTAGCTTACAAGCCAAGCTCGTTGTTGGAATCCACTGACTCATAAACTCTAACTTCTGCCAATCTTTGAGGTATAGTGGTAAACATTTGGCTGAGTTTTTGGTGAATGTTTTTCATTTTACAGAACAGAACCGTTCAATGTATTGCCTAAGAGCGTGGTAAAACTATGCCAATCAATTTATATACATAGGATTTATACTTAGAAAACTAAATATATTCCTAATTTAACCAATAAAGACAGCAAAGTAGTTGAAAATATGCAAACTTGTGGTTATTAGTTCAATGAAATTTCAGCCATTTATTATTAACATATCAAGAACATTTTAGAAGTAATACGTAATATTCAAGTATTGGTTTTATAGGGACTTTGTTTGATTGCATGGATGATTTCATCATGAGCTGAGATCAGTTAGAGAACCACTGGAAAACCTGGGAGTACTGGATAGCTGTTTCGTCCTAGTTTTGGACCTTTCGGCAGTACGCAACCACCGGGATTCAAGACCAGGACCTTCTGGTTACAAGGCGAGATCGTAGACCATTGAGCCACTGGGACCCGATTCAATGGTCCTTGAATTCTAACTTCTGCCAACTCACGACATAGCGTGACCATTTCGCAATGTCTTCTTCGATGAGTTACTGCCTCATCTTCAACCTGCTGTACCCTACTGGTCACGGCTTCCCACTAGAACTCCAGGTTAACTGCCTGAATAAGATAGTCACTAGTGAGCATCGGATTAATTTTCAAGTATTGGTTTTGTAGGGATTTTGTTTGGTTGGATGGAGTGGTTCTCTAACTGATGTCAGCTCATGATGAAATCCTCCATATAATACATAATATGTCTTTGACAATATCAATATCAAGGCGGACATTCAATACATATAATATTGACATCCTCCCAAAATTTGCGTGCTATCCTGGTTACTACTAACAAAGTAAAAGTAGACAGTGACGTTTACAGGTATTTTCTCTGCGAACAATAAATACAAATATGTTTCTGTAGCATAATTTTAAAAAGTTATGAATAAGTACTACATCTCTTCAAAATTCCATCTCCAATTCACCAGCGATTTCGATATGCAGTAAGGATCTCCTTCCGAAAGCAGCCTGATTTATGGGATACAGTCGACTTGTGAATGTTTGCTCAACGTGTTCGAAATAATTTTTGCACTTATAAAACTAATAGAGTCAATGATGAGTATATTAAACCAGCTGATTTTGTTCCCTTTCCTTCAACTAAAATTCAAACTTCATTCAACCGATTTCTTTTCCTTAGTTTGAACAAAAAAAAGAACGAACTTATCTGCAGGATAATGAACTAGTTTAACTTCTTGGATTCAATGTCTTCTGCAAACCGAAGTAACCATGGTTTCCTCTGTGTATTGATTATTTCGAAAGCCTGACTAATTTCCACTGTTTGTTCCGTGCCAATTAGGTGTCTGGCGATTGCGAATGCGAACGCTCTTCTGCCTTCCATAGCATCATACTCAATCTACTTTCTTTACTAAGTTTACCACCAGCTGAGTGAGTTTTAGAAGCGTGTCAACTGGGGCTCCAACTCTGGATCACATGAGTATTTGGAGAGCATTTCACCTCTGGATCACTGACGCTAGTTGATTGGAGGTAACGGGGAAGAACCTCTGAATGGCGTAGCTGCAACTATGAAGGAGCTAATGTCCTCTATAAGATTCTAAATCGCATAACCCAGTGGTGTGGTCATTGTCTGTAGGATTGAACCACTTAGATTTACAAATGAACTCCTGTATGGCAATGGCGAATCACCTAGCTTGGTGAACACATTTCAAACTTGAGTGGTAGGATTCAGTCAGCTCCAACACTATTCTGGATTAGATACATGTCAATGTGTACTCCTCGGTCTGACAGTTCCAAACTTGATAGCTTTTCTCCGGATATCAGCCTCTGGTCTAAGCTAAATGGTCTTCCCTTAAATCCGTCTGAGTTTCAGACAGTTAACTTCACCTTAAAGCATAAACGGCATGATCTACACGAACTGGTTCATTGACAAGATGCTGCTTGCAGCATAGATGACAGTGAAATAGAAACTGAGTCAAGTATAAAAGACGCTGGAATAGTTCTGGTCTCTCACCTTTCTTCATCGGTCATTACATATCTTGTCGACTTCTTAGAAAATGTTCCGTCTAAGCTTCTACATTAAGAAGTTAAGGCAATCAGTTATCACGGAACCTCCTACAGGAGGTCAGTCGCGAGCTCGAATAGCTTAGTGATAACGTCTCTGACTGCAGCACCGGCTGACGCGGGTTCGAATCTCAGAAGGGAAATGAGTTCTTTCAAGATTGCAGATATGCCTTGCTGACGAGTGCCAACCAGCACGAAACCTAGGTTCAAGGCTTCCTGTGGCCGATTGCCTCCAACCATCAAATATCATCAAATCAATGTGCACCATGATGGCGAGCTACCTAGAATGGTGGCCACATTGCAAACCTGACTGACTGATAGAATTCAGTTTGCACCAAAGAAAGGACTAGACACATCACACTAGTTACTAGTGTCCAATCAAACTTTTACAGTTTGTTAACTCTTGCATCTTACCTACTGCTCTTTATTGCCCCCCCCTTCAGTCTTTCATTGACTGTGTCGTATTTCAAAGGGTAGTGAAAGTTGTCAGTAGGGCGAGTGGTGTGCCACTAAGTTAATTAGCTCGTTACTCATGTTGTCCACAGACTCCTGAGCTCGTGTGAGAAATGGACTAATGTTAGTGGTAATGCCAAAATGTTGCTGTTATAAATTTTGGTTACCTATACCCAGTGATATTTTTGTTGTTGTTGAGTAAATTAGCTGTACTATTGTATCAAACGGTGAGAATTCCATGCTGTATCGCACAAGTACTGTTTTGGAATAAAGCAAATCATTATTATAATTATGAAGTGTCATTTCATTATCCGCTGCACTCACTTAATCTGTAATTCAGCCAGATGACACACCAATCACTATTATCATGATAATTTTATCGAGTCATTTAAATTTTGTCGTCATCTGACTTTCCTCAACTAAAATGTTTGATTTCTTCTAATTATTATTATTGTGTCCTTTAATTCCTGCAGGAACATTGGGCTTCAGCCACGCGTCTCCATTGCGTTCGGTTCTCTGCTACAGTCTTCATCTGGCTTCAAGTCTGCCCACACGTTTTCATCTCCTCTTCACATGACCTCCTCCAAGTCACCCTTGCATTGACGAACAACTCGCCGCTTCCCTTTCGACCGGGTTCCACTCGAGCAATGGCTTGTCTAGTGATGTCACTTGATGGTTTCCTCAGAGTATGGCCAGCCAATCCATCTCCATTTCTTCCAGCCTCTTTGTTTCACAATCGGTTCCTACTGTGTTGGTTCGCTCATTGCCAGAGATCCCTCTCTGTTGCTGATCTTTTCTGGCCGGCAATCTGATCTTGAGTATTGAGCGAAGACAACTGGCTGTTGATGAAGATCTGTAGTTTGTTTGAGATGCTCTTTATGACGCGCAGTGCAAGTCTCTGATCCGTATAGTAAGCAGCACTGACTGACTTCACATTGGAGTTGAAAATCCGGATCTTATTTTTGATGCTGAGTGCTGAGTGTTGACCTCCACACAGACTTGAGAGTAGTGAAAGCTTGTCTTGCTTTTCCGATTCTTGCTTTGATATCCTCGTCAGTTCCGCCTGTAGGTGAAATGATGCTTCTCAGGTAGGTAGGTAAAGGAGGTTGTTTCTTTCAGGTTCCTCCCATTTATGCTGATCGTTGTCTGTTGTCTGTTGTTGTTGTTGGTGGTGTTGCCCATGAATCTTCATCATCTCTGTTTTCTCTATGTTCACCTGAAGTCCTATCTTCTCTGGATGATTCTTCTGCCAACTTGTTGCTCTTCGCTTGCATATCTTCCAGTTTGTGGGAAATCAGACATATATCATCGGCGAAGTTCAGACCCTCCAAGTTTTTTGTGTGAGTCCATTTTATGCCTGTCTTCTCATTGCCCGCTGTTTGTCGCATTATCCAGTCTACTTCAATCAAGAAAATCATTGGCGATAATGGGCAGCCAGCTTGTCTTACTCCTGTCCTCAGTTTGAAGGATTCCGTGAGTTTCCCATTGTGGATTACTTGGCATGCAGCATTGTCGTACAGCTGTTGGATGAGATGTATAATTGTCGGTGGCACCCTGTAGTAGCGAAGTAGTTTCCAAATCACCTCTCGATCGATGCTGTCGAAGGCCTTTTCAAAGTCGATGAAGTTGAGATAGAGAGGTGACTGCCATTCCAAGCTTTGTTCAATGATGATCCGTAATGTGGCGATCTGATCAATGCATGACTTGTTTCTCCTGAACCCAGCCTGTTCCGGTAGAAGTTTTTCATTCTTCTAATATGTCTGCCTTTTTTGTACAGACGTTTTGACGATTTATTGAAGTTGACATCATATAATTTAGTTATAGGTTGGTATCAGAGAAATCTTGGACGCTATTTCGGTCTTATTCAGAACTCGTCAGTTAACTGAACTTGAGTTTTGAATAAGTGATACTATCCAAGTAACTCGGTGGTGTTTGAAACATTCGGTATTGCCTATGATTCTCATCGGGAAAATTATCATTCACTAGGATGCAGGTACAACCAGCCGACGAGTTTCAGATAGAACGAAACAGGCATCCTGGATTAAATTTCACTGCTAACCAGTACTAGATGGTTGGAGGCAATCGGCCACAGGAAGCCTTGGACCTAGGTTTCGTACTAGTTGGCACTCATCACCAAGGCGTATCTGCAATCTTGAAGAAACTCATTTCCCGTCTGAGATTCGAACCCGCATCATCCAGTGCTGCAGTCAGAGATGTTATCACCGAGCTATTCGAGCTCGTGACTGACCTCCTGTAGGACCGTATTGGATATTTTTGATGGAACACTAGTCAGTAATTAGTGTAATGTGTCTAGTCCTATCTTCGGTGCAGACTGAATTCTATCAGTCATCTTTGCAATGTGGCCACCATGCTAGGTGGCTCGCCATTACGGTGCACTGTGAATTGTTGGTACTAGATGGTTGGAGGCAATCTGTCTGTCTATTTGTCTGTTTTCGACATAGAACTTTGCACATATGTGCGGCAGTTCAAGTCACCACACTCCCTCCTTGTAGCACACAAAGCAAGAGAAGAAAGTAAGAGAAATGCATATTAGAGACAGTAAACAGAGGTGTGAGACAAAGGAATAGTAATAACGAAGAACGAAACAGTTTCATTGGAAATCATAAGTCACAAGGAGTGGATGCATCTGCGCCAGTCATCGAGAACGACTTTGAGCCATGTCACCAATTGTTTCCAATCATTGGTTTTTACCGTCCCGGGGACCCCAACCAGGAAGTCTACACCTTCCTACGTGGCTTAGACTAACTGTCGTAGATTTCATTGGCTGATTAAGCCATGTTTCGGTTTGACCACCGCTAGCTCTTTTCCAGCCTGACCCTATATCAGCTAACACTGCCCGTCGAGGAAGGCGATGACTAGGCAAACGTAATACATGTCGTAACCATTTCAGTCGATGTAATTTTACAGCCTCGTCGATTGATATCCCCCCCTCCCCTAGCACTCGATGCCTAACCCCAATATTGCTCACCCTATTGCACCACTTCACACGGGAGATAGAACGCGGACACCTATGATCAAAGACAGCTAGCTGGCCTGATCTTTTCATGTCTTCTGCTCTCAATGGCCAGGTCTCACAGCCATAAAGTAGAACGGAACGGACTGATGAGCAGTACACACGCCCTTTGGTCGATAGTCGGATATCACGTCTACACCAGAGACGGCGTAAACTGGCATAAGCAAACGACATCAAGTTCACCACAAAGGATCGTTGAAGTTTTCATTCCACGAGTGAATAGGTCAACAGAAAAAATAAACACACACTTAGGTAGAGTAAAATCAAACAACAACAAGAAAGGTGTCTGTTAGACTCCACCATTGATAGTCACCTTTAACAGAATACAAATTTGATCTTCAAGAGTTAATTTGTAGAGATTCGATTTGTTTCAAGTTCAGCCATGGATTTAAATCAATTTGAGAACTACTGAAAACTATCAAGGAGTACTGAACAGCTGGTTCGTGCCCCTAGATCGTCTGGACCTACCCACCGCTTTATCTCCTTGGGCAGTGTGGTAAAGTATAACTCCATTGTGGATAAGATTTTATTTTGATAAATCAAGCAGTGTTATACAGGAATATTAACTGATGACGTTTCGAGCACAAATTATTACTCACAGTTACAGCTAAAGTTTTTAGACTATCCAAGTGCTGGGACTTGATTCATTGGCCAGCCCATGAATTCCGGCTCCTGCCAATTCGTGCTATTTTAGCGTGTCTACCAGCGTCTACTGCCATTGGTGAGTATTTGTCCTCTATCCCTCCCTATTCATGGAGCCTATTGGTTACTGACTAGAACTCCAGTAATCATCATGTTACTTTTTAAGCTGGTTGTTTTTCTGTTTTCAATTTGGATACAGAGAATTTTCAAAAACTTGAGGAAAATAAAGATTTCAATAACAAAATAGAGAATGAATTAACCAGACGTTTGAAGAAACTAAGGGAGGAGCAGATAATTTCCGAAAGTTTATATAAAGAAATCGGACCAACGGGCACGTATACGCCAAGATTGTATGGCCTACCTAAAGTGCATAAACCAGGGGTACCGTTAAGACCAATACTTGATATGCAAAATTCGCCCTACCATGCTCTAGCTAGGTGGTTAGTAAATATTCTCAAACCTTTGCATGAGAAGATAGTGAAATATAGAGTCAAAGATGTATTTGAATTCGTAGACAAAATAAAAGATATTAATATCAAGGACAAAACCATGATATCTCTGGACATAACATCGTGATTCACAAATGTACCTCTAATAGAAACAGTTAATTAAATATGTGAACAAGTGGACAAGCAGTCGATAAACATTGGAATCAATATTGAAATCCTAAAAGAATTGATATTAAGATGTACCATGAATGTAAACTTCAAATTTGACGGCACGCTTTACAGGCAAGTGGACGGGGTGGCAATGGGCTCCCCATTAGGTCCCATTCTGGCTGATTTCTTTCTAAGTAAGCTAGAAAATGGACCTCTGAACAACCTTATCAGTAAGCTGTCATTTTATTGCCGATATATGGAGGATACCTTTATTCTTTGTGATAATGGTTCTGATAGGAGTACAATAATTACTGAATTCAATGAAGTACATTCGGCTATGAAATTCACATGCGAAGAGGAATCCCAAGACAGAATTGCCTTTCTGGATGTCCTACGTACCATATGGTAGCATAAAAAGAAATTTGCATTGAAAAAGCACCTAGACAGGACAATATACACATTTTCACAGCTTCGTTCCTCTCCAGCACAAAAGAAATTTAGTGAAGACCCTCAGTCACAGAGTTAGAGCTATATGCTCAGAAGAAGTAAGTGAAGGTGAATTAAGCATTGTATATGATACTTTGATCGAAAATGGCTATCCGGACAAATTTATCAAGAAACACATGACAAAGAAAGCGGAAAAGGACTACTCACTGTCTGTAAACAAGAAGCCTTTATATATACGACTACAATTCATGGGTGATATACCAAGTGAAATAATTACAAAGAAATTAAGAAAATCACTCTAAAGAACTTTTAATGCTGACGAACTACACGTATTATTCTCTGCACAACCGATGATGATTCCTCGTCTGGAACATGAAGTACCCAGACTAGGCACTTCTAATTGCATTTATCAATTCAACTGCGCTTGTACAGCGAGTTATATCGACCGTTGCTCTAGGAACTTGATTTTTTGTGCTCACTCGACAACATCTCCCAGTATGGCTAAGTAAAAGTGTAGTTAAAACTGTTAACAGCTCGATATTAGACCATCTGGTGCAAACCGGTCACAAAGCCAGCGTAGAAGAATCCTTCTCTATAATATACCGGGTGCCTAACAAATTACCGAAATCGTCGAAGCACCGCATGCTCCAAACAGCAGAGGCTATTGCAATTCGCCTCAAACAACCAGTGCTCTGTGTCCAAAAGAAACAAGTCCAGCCTCTACTACTGCCCTGGCCCTCAGTAGAAACTATAAACTCATGAATTTGTACTATTACCTTTCCTAATTCTTCCGACATTCAGTTTATTTTATGTTGATGCTGTTCAGCTGTAATTTATCAATATTATTGATTTGATGTTATTTAAACATTAATGTCGTTCATAAGACTAATTCATTCATTCATTATAATGTATATATAATTGTAGAGCCTGATGATGAATTTATCGAAAAGAGTACTCTTTGTTCAGTGTCTATTCTTTTGAAAATTTTAATGAGCATTTTTAATCAGTTAAAATTAATAATTGCCTTGAATTCCCAACTTCATAGTATGACTTCAATCTTTTGTTTACTAATTATGCTTAGCGCAAAAACAAAAAACACAGATTTCAAGCAGTTACTTCATACCTAAAATCATCATCGTCGCATACACTTACTAAACAATTGAGATAATTGTTTTCTTTAACTCTTCTAGACAAGTGTTGCTTCAATTCAGTGTCTTCTGGTAGATCATACGATGTCATCGTCAACTGATGTCGAGGTTCAATATCAGTATCCATACTGTCATCAATGATGTGTAGAGTGAAACCACGTTCATTACATACACGTTGTAAATAAGGCCAAACATGTACACGAAGTTTAGTAAGTTCAATTCGCATATCTATAAAAAACAAAAGATAATTTGGTAATACTTTTTTCTAAGAATATCATATTAAATATAGAATTAGAAATTGGAAATTGCAGGAGGTTGATTATGAAAGTTTAATTCTTGATTAGGAAAATTAAATAAGAATATAAATTCTACAAGAATATGATATTCAATGAACTTCATTGAAACGTATGGTGTAACCATGGTTTCAAACTTTTTAAATCATGGAAAATTCCCATTGTAACATATAGAAAATCAAAACAAATGATTAAGCGAAGAGACTCTTTTCAACGAATTTATCATCAAGCTGTACAATCGTATATATACATATGGTTTTTAAGAAGTTATATCCGTTGAGGGAATTGAAACATAGGTGTGAATGCATAAAACAATAATAATAATTATATGAAATGCAATTAAAACTAAAATGTTTGTGATTATAATCGTAGTTAAATGTCAAGTGGCAAAGCAAATTAATGTCATACATAGAATAATTCATAGGATGGATAGAACTTGAAAAAGGGTGTGCAATTATAAGATTAGTAGACAAATCGAATAAAATAAAAATGTTACGTAATATTGTGTGAAATTTAATAGCATAGAATTGATCGTTGTAAAAAGGAATTGATTTAGAATGACAAGTGGAACAAGTGAAATAATACCGGGGACAATTAAAAGTGAGAGTAGTAATAGTAACAATTGACGTAATAAGGAAGAGTATACAAATTGAATAGACAAAAATGAAAAAATGAAAAATTGATGGAGCTAAAATATGATTGGGGATTACCATACTTTAGCATAGAGGGATTAAGACCATGAAAGTTGGAGCGGAGGGGTTGAACGAACTTTTTCTGTACACAGAGATCTGGCTTTTCTGTTCCGATAGCCAAAGCTTCAGAAATACAGATGAGTCGGGTAAGTAGGGATTTGGGTAAATTACTCTTTGCCTTGTAGATGACTTTGAAGGCGGAGGCTATAGAGATAGGGTGATCACTGTCGACCAGATATTCAATGATTGCGCTTCTTATTGCTCCACTTCCACCTTTCCGTAACCATGCAGGATAGTGTTCTTGCACTCTCTTGGACGAAACTCGAGTCGAACAACCAATATACCTAGCTCCACACGAGCAGGTGAATTGATAAACACACATAGAGTTGGTCAACGGCGGGATCTTGTCCTTCAGGTTATTGAACAATAATGGTCGACTAGTAAAGGCTATTCTCAGAGATGCAGCAGGGAATGTTTTTCTCAGGGACTGTGATATCCTTCGTTTCATTATATCGGAAGCTAAGTTCCCTTTGAATTCCAAGCTAATGTAAAGTAATTTCTTGGGTACGGGTGATAAGTCACGTTTTTTAGGATTTGAATGTATATTCTTATCTATAAAACGTGGTAGAAATCCATTTTCTATTAGGATTTCCCTCAAGATGTATAACTCATCTTCCACAGTATCAGGGCTACATATGCGCCGAATACGAGTGGCAAGCGACCGGATCAGGTTTTGTTTTCAACCAAACTTTTTAGTTCATCAAAGTTACAGATTTGATCATGATCATGAGCTCATCATATCTGTGAGAGAACAATTGGAAAACCTAGTTTGACACTCTTCAGAAGTACAGATCTACCGGGTTTCGAATCCAAGAACTTCCAGGAACAAGGTGAGCTCTTAGACTATGATATATATACGTATATATGGCACAGCGGTTAGAACTTTCGTTGATCGTGCACATGGTCCAAGGTTCGATCCCCTGCCAACACCCACCTGGTATTTATGGTCGTCCTGCAAAATCTGAGCTGTCGATATTATATGCTGGAAATTCAATACTTGTACCAAAAAATACGGTGTGGAATCCAGCTGTAATCAAAATAAAAACATAGTAAGGTGGAATGAGTGTACGTAGTATTTATGGACGCAGGGGTCCGGTTTCAGCTCCCTAAAAGATAGATTACACAGCTCACATTAGGCAACGCAATTTCTAGAACGAACTTATCAGAAATTTTTGGATTTTTATGGATTTTTTGTGTAATATTAATCCATACAAACCAATACTTGAAAACTAATCTAGTTGGCCACTGGTCACTGCCTACAGGATGAAGTTGCCTGAAGTTTTGGTGGAAATTTGTGGGGTAGTGGGGTCTAATTAGTTGGGTATTAGGACAAATACTCATCGATGGCACTGGCTCGCGGTGGCATTGTATTTATCTTGAATCCTACTGCTGAAGACATTTAACAATTGCCATCCAGCAATAAAATTCACTCTTGAAATGGAAAACGAGTCAAAAATTCCGTTTCTTGATGTGGAACTGGCAAGAAGAGCTGATGGGAGCCTAAGAAGATCAATCCATAGAAAACCTACGTGGAATGGTCAACTAACAACCTTCTATAGCTGGGTGCCCATTCAACAAAAGCGGAATTTAATTAAATCACTTGCTACCCGCATCCGACACATCTGTAATCCCGACGTTCTGGAAACAGAATTAGATATTCTGAGAGAAATATTCATCCAAAATGGTTACCCAATAAGATTTATCGACAAAAATATGAAACCAATAATTCGGAAAAACGAAACTTTGACTGCGCCTAAAAAGAAAATCTACATGAACTTGGATTTCAAGGGAGATTTAGCAAGCGATATTCTCAAGAGAAGGTTCACATCATCTCTGAGAAGAACATTCTTTGCAGCAACGCTAAGAATAGTGTTCTCCAGTCGCCCACTAATCTGCAGAAGCCTCAAGGACAAGATCCCGCATCTGGCCACTTCTATGTGCATATACCAGTTCACCTGCTGCTGTGGAGCCAGGTACATCGGTCGTTCGACGCGCATCCTGTCCAAGAGGATTCAAGAACACTATCCAGCATGGTTGCGAAAAGGCAATACTGGTGCAATAAGGAGTGCGATAATTGAACACCTGGTCAGCACTGATCATTGCATTTCAACGAACGCCTCCTTCAAAGTAATCTACCGAGTCAAGAACAACATGTCAAAGGCAATACGGTTTCGTCTCCTTTGTATCGCTGAAGCTCTAGCCATTCACATGGAAAAACCGGAGCTGTGCATACAAAAAAGGATTACTCAAGCACTTCTACTGTCTTGGTAGCAACTTTTTTGATTTGATTTTTTTTATTTTTATGACTTAATTTTGTTTCTTTGCCTGTTCTTTGATTGCTTATAATTCTTGTATTCACTTAGATCTCTTACATAGTTTCGTATTATCTACTTTGTTTCTATGTGCATCCTGAGTAAAACTCACTCATCAAAATATTCATATTATTATTGCATAACTTCTTTTAACAACTGTTTGTGACAACTCATCACCTTTGTTACTACCCTAGTTTCACTAACACTTAATTTTTCTTGACCTGTATTACCAACCTTCACTTGTTTAGTTAAAATTAACCTTAACCAATTGTAACTTTGTCTGACAAACTTAATGTACACATACATACAAAATAACACACATATATATTTGCGATTGTACAGCTAAGAAGATGAATTCGCCGAAAAGAGACTCTTCGCTGATCCACGTGTTTTGTTTTCATTAATGCCTGGATGGGGATTATCCATAAATTATCTTGAATCAGCAGAAGTTAGGATTAATGAGCCATTGGATCGGGTGCCAGTGGCTGAATGGTCTACGTGCTCGCCTTGTAACTGGAATGTTCTGTGTTCGAACCCTAGAGATTAGTGCTTGCTGTTGAAAAGTTCCAAACTAGAACAGAACAGCCGTCTAGTACTCCCCGATGATTTTCAGGGTTTCTTTAGTCGACATCAACTCATGATCATACCTGTAACCAATCAAATACCTGAAAGTTTGTCAGAGCACTGTATAGAATGAAATGAACTTACTGGCACTCATGGTTTCTCAAAATAATTAAACTAATTCAACATCCTATTAATGAATAATTTCATAAAGGATTATATATATGTATACTTATATATGTATAATTATTTGACATTTAAAGGGAATTTTTATAGACAGACAAATGGTGTTGCTATGGGTTCACCAGTCTCTCCAATAGTCGCCGACCTTTTCATGAATAAATTCGAAAATAACATCTTTTCAAGCATACTCACTCCTAAAATAAGGTTAAGATATAAGTAGATGATACTTTTCTAGTACTAAAACGAGATCTACACAATTCATTCCTGGAGAAATAAACTGTGTATCTCCCAGAATCCAATTCACTTCGGAAGCAGAATGAGATGTCAGTGAACTACCATTTCTAGGCTGCCTAGTTAAAAGAAGGGAAAACAGACATTTTCGTATATCCATATTCAGGAAGAAAACCCACTCAAATAAATAGTTAGACTTCAAATCATCACACCCCATCAGCGTAGAGATTTCAGTCGTTTCAAGTCTTCTTAGACGAGCACACTCTCTGAGAACCGACGAGAAAGAAAAAGAAGAAGAAATATCAAACATTACTGAAACTCTCAAGCAAAACAACTACCCATGGAACTTCATTAGCAAAATCAACACAGACATTAAGTATGGCCGAAAACGCATTCCGAAAACATGGACATCAACAGTCGTCATTCCATATAGAGCAGAGACGTCAGACGATATCAGAAGAATGCTCAATCAGCTCGATATTAGAGTTTTCTTCAAAACATCAGACACACTTCAAAGCAACCTTGTCCATATAAAAGACCAAATCCCTAAAGATTCTCTATCTAATTGTGTCTATAAAATAAAATGCTTGGAATGTGATGCGATATACATCGGACAGACATCTCAAGAAATCAAAATCAGAAGAAATGAACACTGTAGAGCATCTCTTCGTCCACCGAGAAATCCTGTTGAACTACAAAGACTTGAAAAATCATCAGCCATAGGTCTACATGCTATAGAATCAGGCCACAAAATTGATTTTGACAATATTGAAATCATCATCCAGAAAAACTTCAGAAATCACAAAGAACATCTAATATCAGAAGCACTTCATATCAAGTGGAATCCAAATTGCCTGAATAGGAATGACGGACTAAAACAGAATCTTACCTGGTTA